CCAAGTTGCTAAAAAGAACCGAAGCAACAAAAAGGTCGTTACCTAAATACAAAGAAAAGTCAAATTCAAACCCTATCTATTACTCAAACGCTGTTGACTATTGACCTGTCATCAAAAAACCGCACAAAACACAAAATTACTCGGAATTACACAAACCCTAGCCAGTACTAATTACCGCAAACAATAATGCTAGAACCATAACCACTACTGCCAACCGATGGGAGACATACACTGCTAAACTTGGTATCTCTCTTACACTAATTACTCTCCTATTCAACCCAAGATTTGAGTCCATAACTACTAAGCACAATAACCAAATAAATCGTAAAGAAGCACCACTGGACAGCTATAAACCGAAATTTCGAATCTATACCGCAAAAACAATTCGAAGCTATAACTGCTAAGCACAATAAGCAATGAAATCATCAAAAGTTGCTCAAACCAATAGATGATCGCACGCTGTAATTACTAATTATGTAAAGTTGCCCAAACCCTGATTGCCACTAGACAGCAGTTCTAACCACGATCACTAGTCCGATCAACTTCAAAATCGTGGATTATATCACAACTATCTAAAGCCTCGCTACCACAGTCACACATATCACAATCGTAAAGTCGTCGAAACCCCAAGATCAGGAGATCCTGAGCAACACCACGTCCAAAGCAGGAGTAAAAGCAACAGTGGACAACCCTGGTCATAGCTGAAGCCCCGGGCGAGCATTTGTCAGCGTTATAGGCGATACCAATCACAGTGTGTGGTCCATCGTCTGTCTCCCGGAAGTCGACGTTTACCGGTGCACTCTCATCCCTCGTCTCTGGCTCAGCGACTGAAGACGTAGCCCAAACCATCTCATTCAGCAGCACCATCACGCCGATAGCAGGGGAGGAGCATAATCGATTGATCTGTCGTCCCGAGCCTAGGCACAGCGCCCAAAAGTCAATGCTAATCAGCGTCCTGATATGTACGGTGCGCAGCTCCTGCCCGTTAACCGTCCCCACATCTCTGCCTTCCTCTCACAGTAAATCCAGGATTACCAACAAGCGTTGACCAAGACTGGCTATGGCAGGTGCATGGTAGTGCCCCCTCGAAGCGACCTCCACCTCGGCGCCCTCACGCTCTATCACCCCACCGCCATTTCCACTATTTCTTCTGAATATTCCACGGAATTATTTTTTTATTTTCCGCCATATAGTTTCTTGATAATCGGAATATCAATCCCATTCATTTCACGATTTGATAGGAATATTCCACGATTTAAATCACGATTTTATTTTCTTGAAAATAGGAATATTCCATTATTTATTTTGCGATTTTATTAGGAATATTCCGCAATTTATTTTGCGATTTATTTTCTTAAAAATAGGAATATTCCGCGAGTTATTTTGCGATTTATTTTCTTAAAAATAGGAATATTCTGCGAGTTATTTCGTGCTTTATTTTCTTGAAAATAAGGATATTCCGCAAGTTATTTTGCAAATTTATTTTATTTCACGATTTTCTTTTCCGTATTCTGTGAATTTACGAGAATTTGTCTTTCTGAAAATCAGAATTTTTTCCCAATTCATTTCTTGAATTTCGGAATTATTCCGCGAAATTATTTTTTTTAGTATTTTGCAAATTCCACTTCTT